TGGAATGTCAGCATTAAGCTTGTGCATCAGTATATTAAAGAGCATGGGACTTAACACTCCTCCCTGAGGTGTGCCAAGCTCAAATGATCTCATTCTGGCATTTTTGACTCCCCTAAACAGAACACTGGCATACCTGTTGGACAGATAACCCTTTATCCATGTCAGGAGGTTACCTTGGATGCCCAAATTAGCTAGTTGCTCAAGTATAATGTCTCTATTAGCTACATCAGAGGCTGATTTAAGGTCTATGAAGGCTGTTTGTGTCTTATTTTTTTGAGTGAAGATATTTTGCAAAGCATGTCTGTGTGTTGCGCCCGGGCATGAACCCATACAGATTAGGGACCAGTTTGTCTTTGACGTGAAACATGAGACGGTTGAGAAAACTCTTTCAAGGACTTTACACATACAGGATGTGAGTGAAATGGGCCTGAAGTTTGGAGAGTTAGCTTTAGGGATTGGTACTATGTTTCCATGAGTCCATGACTAAGGCAGAATACCCTGTGTGAGGCTCATTTGATACAGGTCAAGCAGTGGATGGTTAGGGATCTCATTTAACAATCTCAGGGTGTTATAGGTTATGCCATCCTCACCAGGGGAGGATGATTCACCTTTTATTAGTGCTGTTGTTAGTTCGTGGGGTGTTACAGGAAATTGGTCGGTAAGGTCTGGTGAGGAACAGGCTATTTCAATATTGAAACCCCTATTAATGTCTGTGGTTTTATGTGTGGACAGCCAAAAGGCTGAGGGTCCACCAGAGTGCTTCTCTGTTGGCTAGGTCGATGACAGCCATGTACAGGTCACGACGCTGTTCTCTGCACTTTTCCTGTATCTGGCGGGCAGCAAAGATCATGTCAGTGGTGCCAGGTGATAGTCTAAAACCACATTGAGATTCTGGGAGGAAGTTTTCTACCTCAGGTAGTAGTCTGTTTAGGACTACTCGGGCGATAATCTTGTCAGCTACGGACAGCAGCGAGATCCCACGGAAGTTGCCACAGTCTGACCGGTCTCCCTTGTTCTTATAAATATTGACGATGGAGGCGTCTTTAAGAGCTTGGGAGATTTCCTCATTTTCCTATATATTCTCCAGGAGAGAGTGGAGACGGCTGGTAAGCAGAGGTTCTCCTGCCTTATACACCTCGGCTGGAATTCCATCAGGCCCTGAGGCTTTGTTATTTTTCATCTGTTTGATGACAGTAACTACCTCATCCAGGGATGGAGGATAGCTGAGGTGGGTCAGCTCTGGATGCTGAGGGACCTGCTGGGTAGTCAGGACATCCACATCAGTGTTTAAGTTGAGCAATGAATGGTAGTGCTCATTTCAGCGCTGGAGGAGGCCTTCATCGTCTTTTAATTATGAAGTTACCGTCAGATGAACGGAGGGGGACTGTGCCACGAATGATGGGTTCTTGAAATGTTTTAGTGAAAATTAAAAATTTGCGCATCTTGTGCTGATCTGCAAGTTTTTGTATTTCACATGCTTTATTTTTAAGCCAGTCGTTCTTTAGATTGTGAAGTTCCTGCTGGGCTGCTGCTTTCTCCTTGCGGAAGGTATCATCTTTGGTCCGAGACTGAGGGTTATTCTGCCAGTTAGTAAAAGCAGCACATTTATCATCGATGAGTACTTTGATTGCAGGGTCATTTTCATCAAACCAGTCCTAGTGTATTCTTTTCATCTGGCCGAGGGTCTCTCTGCAGGTTTTTGTCAGAACAATATTAAGAGTATTCCATTCGGCACTGGGATTCGCGTAGTTTGCTGTTGGGTTGTTTATAAGCCCATGTTTGAGCTCTTCTCTGAAAACTTGTGCTACTGCTGGGTCCCCCAGACACTTAGTATTAAAACCTCTTCTGAAGGCTTGCTGCCTTCGCCGTTTTGGTGTGACGTGAAGTGAGAACTTGGCTCTGACAAGTCGATGATCAGTGTTGTAGTGGTCTGAGCCACGCATGGCTCTGGTGAGGAGGACATCTCGGTGATCTTTTTCTTTGACAATGATGTAGTCAATGAGATGTCAGTGTTTGGATAATGGGTGTTGCCACAAACCCTTGAACTTGTCGGCCTGCCTAAACAAGGTATTGGTGATAGTGAGGTTGTGTGCAGCACACTTGCTGAGGAGGAGTAGGCCGTTGGTATTACACTTGCCTATCCGTTTCTCCCTTTGGTTTCCTGCCAAATGTTAGCATCTCTGCCAACTGTGGCATTGAAGTCAACTAGAAGCACAACCTTATCTTCTCTGGAGTTAGAGGTTCGCACTCTGTCAAGGTCGGCGTAAAAGGCCTCCTTGATGTTATCCTCAGCATCCAGTGTTGGGGCGTATGCTTTTAATGAAAAGGGCATGACGCGAGTGATTCAGTGGAACTCAGAGCGTCATGAAGCGCTCGTCGATCCCAATAGGCATTTCTGTTAGCCTGTGTAGGATGCGTTAGTGGATGGTAAAGCTAACTCCATAAATGTGGTTTCTATACGCAGCAGGCTTACCCATCCAGAAGAAGGTATAGCCAGACCCCCGTTCTGTGAGCTGGCGCTCATCTGGGAGCCGGTACTCACTGATGGCTGCCATGTTGATGTTATACCTAGCCAGGTCTTTTGCCACAAGTGCAGTTTTTCTTTCAGGACGCTTATTTGTGCCAGTATCCAGACGGGTCCTGACATTCCATACAGCGACCATAAGAGGTTGTATAGTTTGTTTTTGTTTGGATGACCTTACTGGGTACGGTTGCCCAGTCAGGCTGGTTCTTTAGGCAGGCTATGTTTAGGGCACCTTTTCTAGCCCACTCCGCATGTGGGGTTGAGCAGAGTGGCTCCTCGAAAGGGCTGCTCAGTCGCACTGACAGAACCGGATTGCACTGCTGCCTAGATCCCAGCGCATAAACAACCATCTTATCTGTGCCACCCATGTGCAGAGTTGTGACTAGAGACTCCCGGCAGTCATCTCTGCCTGTCCTCGTCGTCATAGGAATTTTGGGGGTACAGGGGTTTTGATGATGATGAACTGGATGATGGCTGAGCGTGAGATGATTTATGTGTTGAGGCACGAGCGCAGGCTGCAACCACACATCTTGGCTCTCCCTTTTCCTGTTCCAGTGGTGCAAGTGTTGCAACAACTGGGGAGAGGGAGAGTTGCAATGGACTGCCGATAGCCCAGTTTGTTGGGTTTTGCCTTAGTATCCTGTCCATCAGGCATTGCCTTCATCCGCCGGTGTAGTCGTTGGGTTCCCAAGGTGGTCACCTCTTCTGTCTGTACTGCCGTTGGGGTCTTGTTGGAGCTCTGTAAGCATGTCTGCCTGATGCGGGGCTCCACCACAGATTTTTCGTTCAGGGTTGACTCCCGTAGTCTTATACTGTACCTACCAAGGTTAATTTGCAAGGCAGCTGGGCAATGGCTGGTAGTCGCCAGAACGTGTCCACATGACAGTGGGCCTACTCGCCGTCCCTCGGGGGCCCACTGCTACTCCGAGATCCCCTGCTGGTCTAGTCTGGGCCCACGAGGCACCCAGTCACCTTGTGTTGCCACGAGGAGGCACAGCAGGAGTCATGATGGTGAAGAGACTGTGCACTGGCAGGAGAAGACTTATGCAAGTTACTTCCCTGTTCGCCACGAGGGCTAGCCAGCGGTGGTAGCTGAAAGCGAGAGGAAGCAAGCAGTGCTTGCTTGCACCTTAACACTAACATAATGCTGCCACACTAGATGCATTTCACCACCCTGTGTGCGACACACACGCAAGTGCTCGGGAATTAGCTGTTTGGGCGGTCTATCCAGTACTCAAGGACAGATGGAATACACAGTGAGGCATCCCTTGGGGGGGGGTTCACAGTCCCCCCCCCCCCCCCCCCCCCCCCACCCCACCCAATAGACCCTCCGGCTGGGAGGAGAAGAGTTTAACGCATACTCAGGATTATGAAAGGCAGAGGGGTTTTATATGTTTTTTTTTTTTTTTTCAAAAACAGCACTGACTTGACTTAGGAGAATATAACTTGCATTGCTGGAATTCTTGTAAGATAGCGATTAATTTGAGTATAAACATCCCTTATTTTGCACAAGACATAATAATTTTAGTAATTAACTTGGTACATTTAAGTACAGGTTGTGATAATTTATGTGGTTGGAGTTTCAAAGCTTTGTGACATCACTCATGTATAATAAGTCTCCATATGCCCTGGTTTATTCATTGATCAATTGTCTAAGTGCAAATGTAGCCCAGTTGAGCCATCATTTATCAGTTAATTTTAAAATAGAAATTATGATGTAAAATGTTATAAGACAATGGTTTAGTAGTGCTGTTAATGTGCGTGTTGTGTAAGTGTCTTGGCATGTCACCTCACCACCTGACTCCTGGACAAACTCTTCATCAACTTCTCCAAATCCTACAATGTGCTTGGCAAGGTCAAAACACACACACACACAAATGGGAATTAAGACAACAAACATCCAGTGAGGGTCTTGTTGTGTGACTGCATGGAGGCAAATTAAAAGATCAGATGTTGAGCCTATCACTTGGCAACACTGGTGCATGTTACCACTCCTTTCCACTCTGTCTCTCTAATTACCCAAACCTTTCTGCCTTCTCACTCCATATTTTAAAATGTTATGTGATGTAATGTTGAAGGGATACAACTTTGCTCATTTATACTTATACTTACCACAATCTCCCTAAAAATACTTTAGGTTTCGTGTTTACTGAAGACATTTTCAGGTCATGACACCCAGTAATCCACCACCCAAGAAAAGGTGACCTGACATTCCATCAGAAGGTCAGTAATATAAGAAAATGTGTTCCTAAAGCCGGAAATTGTTGGAAAATTCCGGCTTTGGGAATGATTTTCCGAGCAAATTTCAATTCCGGCTATCGGAGTGTTCCGGGTTTTGAGGGATTCCGGCTAACAGAGATATTACTACATGTTTGTGTATAAGATTAAATGTCTTCATTTATTTGTATACATTCATGCCAGTATAAATGTTGGAGTGTAAGACTTAAGAATGTGAACTACTGTATTTCCCTTTCAGGTCTGCATCTTTAGACGTAGAACCAGTTTACACATTTCGTGGTCACTTGGGTCCTGTCTTATGTTTGGCGATGAACAGCGATGGGGAAAAGTGCTACTCAGGAGGCATCGACGGCACCATACGCATATGGAACATCCCTTCCTCCAATATTGATCCTTATGATTCATATGGTTAGTGTACACTGGAAAACTTCTTTTTATGGTTAATGTACACTGACAAATACATATTTATATGGTTAGTGTACACTTGTTTCTGAATATGCATGTCAGTAAATGAATCATGAATTGAACCACAAGTTTAACCACTTGTGTACAAGTTCTCTCTGTGCTGAATGAAATCACCTGACATTAGCAAAGTAAGGTTTTAAAAGTGGCGTCCCCCGTAGTGAAGGGGTGAAGTACCTTTTTAGGTTTTAGTGAAGATGAAAAGGTAAACATAAAGGATGATTTAAGTGAGAATTACCTCAGATATGAGTAGGTGAGACAGTCTCTGTAATGTCCTGCAAATTTTGTGTGTTTGTTTAAATGAGTAAATGAGAATACCAAACTTAGGTGAATCAACTTCACTCCTCTGTGCTGAATAAAATTGTCTGTCCTTATCCATTAAGAATATTAAAAATGATGTCCTGTAGTGAAGGGGTTCCTGGAGATAGTTTATCAACCCATTGTGTATGAGGATCCCTCTGTTCTGAATAAAATTGCCTGACATTAGTCCAATAAAATATTAAAAGAGGCGTCCAGTACTGAAAAGGTTATCAAGTAAATTGAAAAATAGAGAACTCCAGTGTTGCTGTAATTCTCTATTAAATTCAACAATAGCAAAAAATAAATGTATCCAATATGTATACCGGTGATGTTCTTGTGACCAAGATCTTGAATAAGACCTTTTGTAATTTTTGCCTTGATGGTTCACCTATGTGCTCACATAGAGAGTCAGTCAACCTTCACCCCCCCCAGCTTAACTAGCCTGAAGTTTAACTATCTGGGGGAGGAAGGGGGTGGGGGTTAAGTGTTCAGGTGATCCATAAAGACTAAAATTATGAATTCTCTTTCATGTTGTTGGTCCCGACTGCATCACTAATATATCCCGGTGTATACCGTATATCTCGGCCTATAAGATGGAATTTGAACCCTAAAAAAATCAGCCCAAAATTAGGGGCCGTCTTAAATACCGGGTATAAAATTCTTACCTCTTAAATATTGTGGTTTAGCGTGTCAAGAGTGGTGATGGAAACATTTTAAACCACTCACACGGTCCTACCACTAATTATTTTATACTGAAACTTATGTTTGGGAAGCTGGATTAAAAATAAGATTACCGGTATATTAAAATAATAAAAGTATATTATAAACCTGTCTAACATACCGTAAAATAAATAACAACATACCCCAGTAATAAACACAGCTATCATCATGCACCACCCGCCATTTACCAGTGATGAGACAAAAAAGGGAAAGTGACCGGTGTAAGAGAGGGGGGGCGGGAGATAGGGCTATTTTTAGCCCGTCTTTCTGTCCGAGGTGGCCAGTAAGGCATACCAGTATATTTACTGATCATAATACATATCTCCTATAAATAATTTATTTAAAATTTATTTTTTTTACAAAGAATATTCAGTAAATGACTGTGATAATTCTTGAAACTACCTACAGTGGTAGTTTTCTTCATGCTAAATTTAGGATGAGAATGAAGAAGCCGAAGTCACCGTCATCTGATTCAGAATTTGATCCTTAATGATGATGCAACCATAAATGTATCAGGTACAGTGGTCCCTCGGTTAACGAGCACAATCCGTTCTAGAAGGTTGCTTGATAACCAAAAAACTCTTCAACCAAAACCATTGTTTTAATGGGTTTTTGGGTACCGTATATCGCGGCCTATAAGGCGTCGGGGTGCATAAGACGGCCCCCCCAAATTTCCATTTAAAAAGTAGCTTTTGAGCTCTATTTGCTGTATAAGACCAGTACCCCAAATGTGACACTTACCCACTGACTCATTAGTCCTTTACCAACCATCCTTGGTTTTTTAAAATAAGGCCAATTCACTTCAAGTAATGTCATCAAATATTACCCGCTGGTGTAGTGTAAACACTAGTGACGTCACTGAAGCGTCTGCTATTTACCGGTAACTGGAACTAATGTCGGTGTCGAGTAAAATTTTTCCATTTACTTGAAATGGATTTACCGATTTATTTGTTTATTTATTTATTTATAATATACTGTAACATATTAAACACACTGCAAGTATTTTCTTTCATTTATACGCTCAGTGGTGGGAGTGTTCCCTCGTCTCGGTGGTGTGACTGTGTTCCGACTATTTATACAACAGGTGGTTCAACAGCAACCACCTATTCTAATTGTGGTGTTACATTAGGATTTGAGTGAAAAAGGTTACCGGTATGTACTTACTACATACATTTATTACACAAACATATTTATATATATATATATATATATATATATATATATATATATATATATATATATATATATATATATATATATATATATATATATATATATATATATATATATATATATATATATACTATGTACAAAAAATGAATGTTCAATGAATTATTTATGGTGCATTAGGGTACTGGCCACTTCAGACACAAAGACGGGCTATAAATGGCCGTGTTATCTACCCCTACATCTCACCCTGAGCCAGAGGGAAGCATCTTGGTAAATAACATTTGTTTGCTTATTTTCCATTCACTTGAAATAGATTTACCGAATTATTTGATTATTTATTTATCTATAATATACTGTAATATATTAAACACACTGTAATTATTTTCTTTAATTTATAAACTTGTTTTGCGACAAAGGAATGTTCTCCAGTAGTGTTTCATTAGGATTTGAGTGAAAAAATATTACGTACTTACTACATACATTTATTACACAAACATATTTATATATACGGTATATATATATATATATATATATATATATATATATATATATATATATATATATATATATATATATATACTGTATATATATGTATATGTATATATATGTTATATGTATTGAATAATGGATTCGGTTAACAAAATATAACTCTGTGGAACGTATGTATTCATTACCGTATATCACGGCCTATAAGGCGGCGGGGTGCATAAGACGCCCCCCCCAAATTTCCATTTAAAAAGTAGCTTTTGAGCTCTATTTGCTGTATAAGACCAGTACCCCAAATGTGACACTTACCCACTGACTCAGTAGTCCTTTACCAACCATCCTTGATTTTTTAAAATAAGGCCAATTCACTTCAAGTAATGTCATCAAATTATACTCGCTGGTGTAGTGTAAACACTAGTGACGTCACTGAAGCGTGGTGGGAGTGTTCCCTCGTCTGGGTGGTGTGACTATTTATACAACATGTGGTTCAACAGCAACCACCGTATTCTAATTGTGATGTTTCATTAGGATTTGAGTGAAAAAGGTTACCAGTATGTACTTACTACATACATTTATTACACAAATATATATATATATATATATATATATATATATATATATATATATATATATATATATATATATATATATATATATATATATATATATATATATATATATATATATACTGAATAAAACAAAAAATGAATGTTCAATGAATTATTTATGGTGCATTAGGGTACTGGTCACTTCTGATGGGCTATAAATAGCCTTCTTTATCTCCCCTCCATCTCACCCTGAGCCAGACGGAAGGGTCTTGGTAAATAACATGTTTGCTTATTTTCCATTTACTTTAAATAGATTTACCGAATTATTTGTTTTATTTATTTATTTATAATATACTGTAATATATTAAACACACTGTAATTATTTTCTTTAATTTATAAACTGTTTTGCGACAAAGGAATGTTCTCCAGTAGTGTTTCATTAGGATTTGAGTGAAAAAATATTACGTACTTACACAATTGTTCCTCTTACTTTGACAACACAACATACATACAGTATATTATTTCTCAGTTTTGATCTTTTTTTTAATTTTTGTATTTATTTATAGTTAGTTACTTAAAATAAGGCCAATTCACTTCAAGTAATGGCATCAAATATTACCAGCTGGTGTAGTGTAAACACTAGTGACGTCACTTGAGCGTCTGTAATTAACCGTCGATAGTTTCAAGAATTAATGCACTTTTCCTTTCTTGTCTCCTCACTGGCAAATGGGGGGGGCGTGGGGAGGGGTGTGTGATGATAGCTGTGTTTATTACAGGGGTATAAATCTCTTTTACGGTATGTTAGACAGGTTTATAATACATTTTTATTATTTTAATATACCGGTAATCTTAATTTGAATCCAGCTTGCCAAACGTAAGTTTCAGTATAAAATAATTAGTGGTAAGACCTTGTGAGTGGCTTACGATGTTTTCATCACCACTCTTGACACACTAAACCACAATATTTAAGAGGTAAGAATTTTAAACTTGGTGGTTTAGACGACCCCCTAACTTTGGGCAGATTTTTTTAATGTTCAAATTTCGTCTTATAGGCCGTGATATACGGTATATATATATATATATATATATATATATATATATATATATATATATATATATATATATATATATATATATATATATATATATATATATATATATATATATATATATATATATATATATATATATATATATATATATATATATATATATATATATTTCATGTAAATCCACAATGGAAACATGGATAAGATAAATCTTGATAGAATCACACGGGAAAAGGGAAACAACGGAGTACCTTAGCTTTCGTCTTTATTCAAGACATCTTCAGAGGCAACTGGATTACATGGACAGAGAGAGGCTTAAATATACAGGGTGACCTTAAAAACATGAGGTCAGGTCATAATGATGTCATCCACTAATCCCCACACCAACACACATGTTGAGGAGTTTAAGAGAAGGGGGGTGACGTGACTAGTCAGGTCAGGTCAAAAATAAGGGACCCACAAAATAACTATCATACATCTAGATCAAAGGTTTTCAAAGCATTTTTAACCTTGGGCCACTGACAAATAAATTTATGTAACATATTATCAGTTTTGAACTGACCTTAGTGATGGTCAGTTCAAAACTGATTTTAATTATAATATATATATATATATATATATATATATATATATATATATATATATATATATATATATATATATATATATATATATATATATATATATATATATATATTTCATGTAAATCCACAATGAAAATGGATAAGATAAATCTTGATAAAATCACACGGGAAAATGGAAACAACGGAGTACCTTAGCTTTCGTCTTTATTCAAGACATCTTCAGAGGCAACTGGATTACATGGACAGAGAGAGGCTTAAATATACAGGGTGACCTAAAAACATGAGGTCAGGTCAAAATGATGACATCCACTAATCCACACACCAACACACACGTAGAGGAGCTTAAGAGAAGGGTGGTGACGTGACTAGCCAAGTCAGGTCAGAAAAAAGGGACCCACAAAATAACTATCATACATCTAGATCAAAGGTTTTCAAAGCATTTTTAACCTTGGGCCACTGACAAATAAATTTATGTAACATATTATCAGTTTTGAACTGACCATCACTAAGGTTTATTGATTTTAATTCCTTAATCAAACTAGCTTCAACCAGAAGTCTTTCTGTGACACAAGATGATTTGAATACTTCTAAGCTTTTTTCCCAAGCAATGGGGTGATTATTATTCCTAACATGAACGAACAAGGCACTGCTTTCAGATGCAGTTCTGATATTATACTTATGTTGTTTGATTCTGAGCTGCAGTGTTTTTCCTTTCTGACCTACATAATTACAATTACATTTTCTCCATGGAATACAATAAACACTTCCATTTACATTCAAACTTGGGCTATTACTTATTAACATATTGGTAATGGTTGAGTCATACTTGAAAACAACATTAATATTTAGAAGCTTGAGGGACCGAACTAACGGGACAAATTCATTACGATAGGGCAGTCAAAATATTCTTAAGTGTAGGAACTTGTCTGGTTTGAGAGGAATGAAAGGATTTTTTAGCCCTTTTAAAACAACGATCAACAAACACAGAAGGGTACCCAAGTTTCTGTGCAATAGAACGAATGTGTTTCATTTCATATACATACATACATACATACATACATACATACATACATACATACATACATACATACATACATACATACATACTTTCTGCCTCATTTACACACAATTGCAGTTTCAATTGTTCCTCTTACTTTGACAACACAACATACATACAGTATATTATTTCTCACTTTTGATCTTTTTTTTTAATTTTTGTATTTATTTATAGTTAGTTACTTAAAATAAGGCCAATTCATTTCAAGTAATGGCATCAAATGTTACCGGCTGGTGTAGTGTAAACACTAGTGACGTCACTTAAGCGTCTGTAATTAACTGTCGATAGTTTCAAGAATTAACGCACTCATTTACTGAATATTCTTTGTAAAAAAATAAATTTTAAATCAATTATTTGTAGGAGATAAATATTATTATGAGTAAATATACCGATACCCGGTATGCATTACTGATCACCTCAACGGCTAAAAATAGCCCAATCTCGCGGTCACTTTTCCTTTCTTGTCGCCTCACTGGCAAATGGGGGGGGGGGGGTGTGTGATGATAGCAGCTGTGTTTATTACAGGGTATGTTAGACAGGTTTATAATACATTTTTATTATTTTAATATACCGGTAATCTTAATTTGAATCCAGCTTGCCAAACGTAAGTTTCAGTATATAATAATTACTGGTAGGACTTTGTGAGTGGCTTACGATGTTTCCATCACCACTCTTGACACAATATTTAAGATGTAAGAATTTTATATTTGTTGCTTAAGACGACCCCCTAACTTTGGGCAGATTTTTTTAATGTTCAAATTTCGTCTTATAAGCCGAGATATACGGTAATTGGTTCCAGCTCACCGAAAATTGCCTAAATTCAACATAAAAGGTAGAAAAGTACACTTACTTTGAGGTGTGTATGTAGAAGGCTCCTGGATGATGATGATGATGATGATGATGATGATGGGAATTGGAATGGGGTTGGAGGAGAAGGGAGAAGAGAAGGCATTGGGGTGGAAGAGAAGTCACCCCATGGTGCCATTTCGCCCATAAAATTTTAGTTCTCTTGGTGTAATTCAAGATTTTTTTCTTTAAATCAACACTGCACTGCATTATATATTGTCAATATGTAAAATAAATTTCAAAATGACCAATAATTGGCTTGCAAACAAAGAAAAAAAGCGTTCAGTTGAAGAGAGTCTCAAGCAAGATGTTACGTCCACTGAGGCTGGATGGCACGCATAAAACTAGTTTCATTACCTTCAATTATGTTCAATAATTATTAAAATGACTAAAAAATTTAATAAACTTTTAAAATTATTGAATAGTATAAACTTCTTGATATTTGCTAAAATGGTAAGGAATTTAAGCCCTAGAACCGATTACTGTATTGGCGGACTAATACTACAGCTGGTGGACCGCCAAATGCAAGCAAAAACATGTTCAGGTCGGCTCGTAAGAAACTCGTGAATCGAGGGATTGCTCGTTAACCGAAGTTAAGAATCTTATGGAAGGTAACTCGTTAACCGAGGGACCACTGTAAACTTCACCTACCACGTATAGCCTCCCTTCCTTTGTTACGAAGCAAATTTATAAATTAAAGAAAATACTTGCAGTGTGTTTAATATATTACAGTATATTATAGATAAATAAATAAATAAACAAATAAATTGGTAAATCCATTTCAAGTAAATGGAAAAATTTTACTTGACACCGACATTAGTTCCAGTTAAATAACAGACGCTTAAGTGACATCACTAGTGTTCACACTACACCAGCTGGCAACATTTGATGCCATTACTTGAAGTGAATTGGCCTTATTTTAAAAAACCAAGGATGTGTAAACAGCACTTGTCAATGGGATGGTTGGTAAAGGACTACTGGGTCAGTAAGCTCCCAATGGTAAGTGTCACATTTGGGGTAGTCTTATGTAGCGAATAGAGCTCAAAACCTACTTTTTAAATGGAAATTTTGGGGGTCGTCTTATACACTCTGTCGCCTTGTACGCCGAGATATATGGTAGTTTGCTTTTTCTATATTAATTATTTTATGATCTGTGCATATGAAGTAAGTTTTAAAGGGTGCCAGCAGACTGATGTTTTGATTGTGTTCAAGATTTAAAAAAAAAAAGAAGCATTAATTATTACTGTCATTTTTATCACAGAGCCGAGTGTGGTCGGAGGAAGTTTATCAGGACACACAGATGCAGTATGGGGTCTGAACTTCCATCCTCAGCGCCAACATCTACTTTCTTGTGCGGCAGACTCTACTGTTAGATTGTGGTCCGCAGATGCCCGCTCGCCCTTACTATATACTTATGCTGTAGAAAAAGGTACATTGTCTTGTTTTAGGATACTACTACTACTACTCCTCCTTTTCTTCCTCTTGTCACATTGAAGAACATATGTTTTAGTAGGTTTCTTTACATCTAGTACTGTATAACCATAACATGCTAGTGAATCTTTTTTACATTTTTATTTCTCCCACATTTATGTTTCTCTATTGTAGCTTCATTTCCAGTTTTACAGGTTAATGTCCTTTCACAGGATTGGTTAACGTACAGTATATGATATACAGTGGTCCCTCGGTTAACGAAATTTCAGTTAACAAATTACCTTCCATAAGAATCTTCAATTCGGTTAACGAAAAAAATTTGATTAACTAAATCCTTACGAAAATCATGTTTTGTTTTGAACATTAGCTGATAAGCTGAGGAGGTACTCAGCCAATTCAGTAATCTCTTCTATGTTTACATTTGTTTCCAATGGAGTAAATATCAAGAAAATTGTGCTCTTTAATATTTTTGCATTTTTTATACAGTATTAAAAGTATTGGTCATTCTAAAATTTAGCCATCCAAGTTCTGTCTACATAAAGTTTTTCAACTAATATTTTTGGCTCGATATATGTAACTTTATTCATTTATTGAAACTCAATTACATGCACACACTGTCCTAAGGGCAAAGCTGTACTGTACATGTAGTCAAAATAATGTACAAAATGATTACTAAGATTTTTGTCTAGTGCAAGCTATAGCATGATTATATTCAAATTAATCACTATCCATAAGAATTCCAACAATGTAAGTTATATTCTCCCCTGTCACTTCTGTGACATCTTATAAGCAAAAAACATAAACTCAATCTAAAGGACATAAATAAACAATTAAATACTTCACACCTTGGCGCCAACTTTGAAACATGTCACTGTCACCACTCCCTCCCTCCCTCCCTCCCAAGAAAGGTTTTCAGTCGGCTTTTAGTTTTCATCTTATATAATATCTCAGACTAAAGTTAGGAGAATATAATTTGCATTGCTGGAATCCTTGCAAGACAGTGAATAATTTGAATATAAATGTCATATATTTTGCACAAAAGATAAAATTTTTGCTCTCTGTATTAAAATTCTTAAATTAGATCTAAAATTTGTATGTCTAATGCAAATTATAGCTTGTTTATATTCAAATTAATCACTATCTTATAAGAATTCCAGCAATGTAAATTATATTCTGCCCGGTCATTTCTATACAATTTTATGAGCAAAAAACAAAAACTCAACTAAATGACAAAAATAAATAAATTAAATACTTCACCAGACCTTCCCCCTAACTGTCAAAGTACCTCCCGTTCCCCCCTCTTCCCAGCTCCACACTTGCTCACTCCCTCCCTCCCTCCCTCCCTACCCCCCACCTTCCCAAGAAAGGTTTGGGGGTTTTCAGTCGGCTTTTAGTTTTTATCTTGTATAATATCTCAGACTAAAGTTAGGAGAATATAATTTGCATTGCGGGAATCCTTGCAAGACAGCGAATAATTTGAATATAAACGTCATATATTTTGCTCGAGATAAAATTAATCACCTGTATCACATTACAGTAGTGATTTAAGAGTTCTAGTGTGTGTGTATATATATATATATATATATATATATATATATATATATATATATATATATATATATATATATATATATATATATATATATATATATATATATATATATATATATATATATATATATTTTGATTTAAGGGCGATTTAGGGGAATTTTAGGAGTGTTTCTGACTTTATGCATTTTTGGCTTTACTTTGTATATACTTTTCTGTGAGCTGGAACCAATTACCCAATATCCCATTGAAACAATGGTTTCAGTTAACGAACGACCTTCTGGAACGAATTGAGTTTGCCACTGTATATATATGTTTGTCAGCTGCTGGAAAGAAGGGAGTATTTGTTATACAGGGTGTCCATAAATAATCTGACCCATTTTAAGAATTATTAATTTAGAAAATTATTAACTTAGAAAATTTTATAGATAGATCATGCTGGTCTTATTATAATTGAAGAGCAACTCTTAAGTTTTTTAATCCTTAAGTTGTCGAGTAATGTATAATAAAAACGTAGTGTTCTGTCCGAGATATTTTTGTAATTATTTAAGTGTTAAAATGAGCCATATATTTTATGGACACCCTGTACAGTAAGTTGATGCCTTACATTCTTTATCTGACTCATCTTTGACTATAAGTAATAAATTTAAGTTTATTTGTACCTTTTCTTCTATGTTGATTATAGTAAATTATAGTTTCTTTCATTAAAATTAATATGCCATGCTGTCACAATAACTAAAAGATGGCTCACTCAGACATGCCTTTTGTTGAAATGTGTTATTAACTTTGCTTTTTTATTTACAACACATGTTACCTTCATGATAAACTGATTCATATAACACTGTCACCTTTTGTTTCTCCCACCAGATGGCATCCCCACTTCAGTTGACTTTGTTTATGAATCAAGCAACCAGTTTGTGTGCAGCTTTAACACAGCTAACTGCGTCATATTTGACCTGGAGACTGGTAAACCTGTCATGCGTCTTGACACAGAACCTGATCAAGGCAGCAATTCTCTCAACCGACAGATCAATAGAGTAAGGATTTATTCTATCTTAGTTTGATAGATTAGATGATTATTGCTTGTGGTTATAAACATTTAAATGGTACAATGATGTATATTATGGTATGATATACTATACTTCATAAACATATAAGGCATGTACTGTGCAGTGATATCCCCATTAGCCAGAACAATTGGTGCAAATCACTTCCGGGGATGAGATATTTCCGGGTATCCAGACAACTTTCTCACACCCGGAAAAATCCCTTTTACCCGGAATTTTTTCCAGTTACTGGGAAAAGTTTCCTAGTGTCTAAACTAGACATCTTGCACAGACAGACACTAGCCCACTTCCTCGGAACATTTCTGGGTGCTGGGGATGTTTTTCTTGAGTCTAAACTACCAGAGTTCATAAATGCAGTTCTAATTTAGTTAGAAACTTCATTTCTTTACTATAATAATCCAGAATAGTTTTTCTAAAAGTTTGGTTAAATAAATATATTTACAAATTAAAAACCTATATGATATGGACATGAATGAAGCTGTGTGTTACAGCAAAGACTGGTATTTTCCACTCCCATGGAGCTGTGGTGGATTAGTGGGTCTTGTGTAACTGATCTGACCTGACCTGATGCAATGTCAGGTGGAGGTAGGGTGGGGGATTAGTGGTCTCATATTACTGACCTTCTGATGGAATGTCAGGTCACCCTTTCTTGGGTGGAGAATTAGTGGGTCTCATGACCTAAAGATGTCTTAAATGAAGACAAAAGCTAAGGTATTTTTGAGGTGGTAGGCTGCTCGCAAACAAGTGCATAAACTTTTATCCACAACATCTGCTCTAATTGTGGTAAAGAAATGAATTTGGTACCGTTGCATACATGGAGATGCATTCTTGGTAACGTTATTTTGTACCTATGAGATATACAGTATATTGAATATAAAGGGTACAGGTATTAATGGTAACACTAGGCAACAAATTTAAAAAAAATATTCTGTAACATGGTTCAAAGCAGCTTCCTTTGGTAATTTTGAGGTGCTGATTTCAAATCTGGCAATAAAAATTCTCTGGCATGTACAGTTTATTTGTAATACAAAAAATTAAATCATGCAAAAACTGAAAAATACTATTTAAGCTGTTATTCCTGTTACTTTTGTCCACGTCATCACGCTAAAATTCAATAAAGAACGAAAACAATCATAAGAAGACAAAATGTATTAAATTAGCCACTGTATGGGCATTTGTTATTTTATTTCATCCTTTTATGTGTTGTATTGTCCTCAGATTGTAAACACCAGCAATAGTCCCCCATCATGGCAGGATCCCATCAACCCTGGTACCTTTTCTCCCTACGTCTAATGTCCTGATGAAATCGCTCTCCCTGTTCATCACTAACTGCCCCCAGATTCTCTGGAAAAAGTCTAAGTGCGAGTGTAGAAGATGGACTTAAAGGGACATCCTGGATCCTAAGTTATTGTAGTTTTGTATGAGTTCCTCTACAAATTGGCAATAGTTTTTATTGCCATATTTGAAATCAGCACTCCAAAATTAATAAAGTGCAGCATATTTGATCCATATTACCAAACCCTTGTCAGCTCGTGTATTTATGAGAACAGCACTACCACCAGGAGTTGTTCGATTTCATTCATATTTTCCACATATTCTTATCATTAAAGTAAGTATTTTAAAACAGGTGATAACTTTTTATTTTAATTATAAGTACAGTCTCTCCTCAACTTACGACAACCTGGACATATGACCGCCATGGTCGTATAAAATATTTTTCACATTACGTATTTTCGAGTCCCGAAACGTTTGGTCGTAATGTGACCCCTTACGGCAGCTTGGGCTGGACCGCCTCGTGGTGTACAGCATCCACGTCGTAGCCCGCTCAGTTGTTGTTTGGCCGTTGTTGTTGTTGTTAGTGATCACGCTGTGTACTGACAAAATTTTCGTTTCTGATTCTCTTTAAAATGGCTGGCAAATGTAAAAGTGAGAGTTCTCATGGTGCTGAGAATAAAAAGAGATAGTCAATTACTTTTGAGATGAAAATGAAAATAATAATGCAATGTGAAAATGGAAAAATGGTAGCAACCATTTCACGCGACCTTGGCTTCTCTCACTCGACTATATCAACAATTTTGAAGGACAAGGAACGAATTCGTGAGGGAGTGAAAGGATCAGCACCTTTAAAGGGAACAATAATAAAAAAAAAACAAGGTCCTCTTCATGAGATGGAGAAATTACTTGTGATGTGGATGGACGATCAGCTGCAAAAGAGCCTTAAGCCTTCTAACCATACAGGCTAAGGCAAGAAACCTTTTCGAAAGCCTGAAAGAGCAGGCAGGAGATGAGTGTGATCGAAACTTTACAGCAAGTTATGGGTGGTTCCAAAGGTTTAAGAAACGTTACAGTTTGCATAGTGTAAAGGTGAGTGGAGAGGCAGCAAGTGCTGATGTGGGTGCTGCCGAAGCTTTTAAGGAGGAGCTAGTATCGTGTCTTCGTGGAGGGAAATTATATGCCTGAGCAAATATTTAATGTGGATGAAACTGGCTTATTCTGGAAGCGCATGCCAGAACGGACATACATCCACAAAGAGGCGAAAACCATGTTGGGATTCAAGGCATTCAAGGACCAAATCACACTTCTGTTGAGGGTGGGGGGGGGGGGGTAGCTAATTTCAAGGCAAAACCCTTCATGATATATCATTCAGAGAACCCAAGGGCTTTTAAAAAATGTCAGCAAGCACACACTGCCAGTGTTTTATTTCATTAATAAGAAAGCCTGGATGACCCTAGCACTGTTTGAGAATTGGTTCCTGAGTTGTTTTATTCCATGACCCAAGGAGTATTGTCTGCAACAAGGGGTTGCATTCAAGATTTTGCTGATTTTAGATAATGCTTCGGGACACCCACCGCACCTGGATGACATGCACCCTGATGTTAAGGTAGTCTACCTTCCACCTAACACTACCTCTATCATCCAACCCATGGATCAAGGTGCTATTGCTGCTTTTAAAGCGTATTATTTGCGTGCTACCTTCGCTCAGGCTGTTCCTGCTACTGAAGGTGAGAAAACGCTCAGAGAGTTTTGGAAGGACGACAACATTTTGCAATGTACAAAGAACATAGCTGCAGCATGGGATGAGGTTACAGGTCAGTGCATGAATGTAATATGGAAGAAAGTCCTGAAAAGATATGTGAACAGTTTCAAAGGATTTAATGAAGATGAAGCAATTTCTGAGATTAGCAACAAGATAGTGCAGATGGGTAAACAGCTGGAGTTGGAAATTGATAATGAAGATGTTGAGCAGTTGGTAGAAAATGTAGCAGAAGAGCTCAGTAACGAGGATCTTATTGAACTAGATGCACAGAAAATTGCAGAGGAAGAAGAGAGACAAAATGTAGAAGAAGAACCTGCACCCCCCAAAAAGTTTTCAGTGAAACAAATGGCAGAAGCATTTGCTACAATTAATAAGGGGATGCAAATGTTTGAAGAAATGGATTAAAATGGTGAGCGTTTTGACAGACTGATCCAAGATGCACTTGCTTGCTACAGGGAGATATACAATGAAAAGAAAAGGCAAACTGTGCAGTCTAAATTGGACATATTTTTTTAAGTCCCCCCACTGCTGTCTCCTCACGCCCCACCACTGCTGCCTCTTCACTTCCTAAAGATGATCCAATACCTTCAACAAGCAAGTATGTTAACCTGTCTGAAGAAAGCAAACTTGATGACCCACCCCGCCCTGTCTCCTCCTCTGCTTCATCCAATTAATGTAGTCTCCATGTTTAATTAAAAAATTATTGAGACCCCGTGTGCATTCAGCTGACTACATTAAAGTTAAGTGCACAGTAACACTTTATTCATTTTTCATTATTGATTACTTTTACTGTATTGTATTTCATTTTTGAATTTCTATGTACTGTATTATTTTCAACTTATGACCTGGTCGTCGGGACGGAACCCCGTCATAAGTCGAGGAGAGAGTGTATTCATTTAGTTATTAATTAATTTTAGTTTTTCTCTGCGATCATAAATCTCCTGTAGTGGGCAGGATATGAAGAGTGAGGGAAATTGTGGGGTAAAACATGGTGAAAAACTGATCATATGACACTAAAATGATGTATCTTCATGCTTTGTACGTGATGAGTTACCACGTATCGTCTGTATTTTTTTACAACTGACCTGCTTGGTCCAAGCGTACTCTCAGGTCCACAAAAAAATTAATTTACACCATGACGCTTCATCGAAGTTGCTTTCATTGGTACTAGATATCATAATACCCTGTAAGTACTTTATGTTTAATATGTTGGGGGGGGGTCCAGCCCCAGGCTAGGAAGTTAGGTAAGTTCCTTTGGTTGGTTAGGTCAGGTTTCATTAGGTTCTAGTATATGTCGCCTCTGTTAAAATACTATAGTGATAAGAACGTCTGTGGAAATTTTTTTGAAAATTCATTATTACAGTAACATATCTTTACTAATTATCAATATGTTAAATAAATTTCAGAATAACCAATAATTGTAGACCAATAATTGTAATGTAAAAACGTAAAAATACTCTGTGTTCAAGACACCCACAAGCAAGAGGTTTCCACCACTGTAAACAGAGTCAAACAGACGCTTTGGTGGGTGAGTGAAGTGGCTGATGGGCGCACCAAAAACTAGTTTCCTATACTGCATATATTATCGATATGTTAAATAAATGTTAAAATGACTAATAATTTAAATATAAAACTTGCAAAAATATTAAAAGAGCACAACCTTCTTGATATTTACTCCAATTTTAACAAATGTAAGCCTAGAACCAATTACTGTATTGGCGGACTTGCCTATCAGCTGATGCGCAAGCCAAAACATGTTGTCGTAAGGATTTCGTTAATTAAATTTTTGTTCGTTAATCGAATTGAAGATCCTTATGGAAGGTAATTCGTTAACCGAAATTTCGTTAACCGAGGGACCACTGTGTGTGTGTGTGTGTGTGTGTGTGTGTGTATATATATATATATAATATATATATAATATATATATAATATACAGTATATATACACCTTGTTTTGTACTTCTCTTTAGTCTGTACTCACCCCTGAAGATGTGAATTACACGAAAGCGCTTGGGAACTTCGTGTTTTCTTCTTTCCTTGTGGTTATCAGCATATACCTAGATCACGCACCTACAATGATTTACATATATATATATATATATATATATATATATATATATATATATATATATATATATATATATATATATATATATATATATATATATATATATATATATATATTATATATATATATATATATTATATATATATATATATATATATATATAAGCTACATAGTAACGTGTGATGTTTATGTTCATGACAGGTTGTGTCTCACCCCACTCTGCCACTAACCATCACTGGACACGAGGATCGTCACATTCGGTTCTGGGACAACAATAGTGGTCGTTTAGTTCAGTCTATGGTGGCTCACTTAGACTCTGTCACTTCCTTGGCTGTTGACCCTAACGGTCTCTACCTCCTCTCAGGCAGTGAGTTTTACCAACTTATTTATCTTCATTTTCACTTTTTGTCTTCAAATATATATTAAAATAATCACTATTTTAAACACATCCTCTTTAAGTTCACACCTTTTGTTGTCTAATACTTGTTTCTGACAGCAAGGTTTGAAGAATTAATGTACAACAGCTTATTTCTTAAGTGGTATTTCTTGTTTATATGTAAAATTATTATTTGGATACAAAATACTGTAATAGGAAACATAATGTGTTAGTAATGATTAAAAATTGTTGATAATTTAGTTTATTTTTATATACTTAATAAATGCTTTTATATTTTTTTATATATAACAAATAGTTCACTTGCTTATTAGAATCATTATAGAGAGATTGACTTGGTAGTACAGTAATGTGATGTTGCAGTACTGTATATCAAGATTGTTGCAAATAAATAAGATCATTGTACATTCTTGAATATATACAGTATGAGTTGTAATGAATTTACTGAGTTTGACTATTTTTATGACTTATTACATAACTCATAAGGTGAACCTTGTTCCACAGGCCATGACTGCAGTATTCGCTTGTGGCAGCTAGACAGTAAACAGTGTGTGCAGGAGATCACGGCCCACAGGAAGAAGTTTGACGAGAGCATATTTGACGTGGCCTTCCATCCTAGCAAGCCATTCATTGCCAGCGCAGGAGCTGATGCTCTAGCTAAAGTTTTCGTCTGATCACAGAGCGACTCCGGTAGAGTCCCAAGTCCAAACCCCAAGTCGCTGCTGGAGGAGCAGATTCCAGGGCTACAGTATTCCTCTAATGCCTCGGACTTACGTTGTGCAGAAGATATGTAGAAGTGCTGCGTTCATGGTGATGTGAACAGTACTGAGTATCCACTTGGGAGTTTGAGACCTGATTTTAATATTAGTTTTCTTTCCAAGAAGACATTCATTGAGCATTTTATCAGTACTTCTGATGAAGCATTCTGCATTATTTATTGTTATTAAAATCACTCTCCTTTTGAAACTTAGGTTAGATGGTGGTAAAAGTGAACCAGTTCGTGGTCTCAGGCTCTCAACCTGAAAACCTAAATAATGCTCTCTCAGCCGACACACTCAATAGCTGGCCAAATTCTTGAGTCATTGTGTGAGCATTAGGTTATACTTGGTTCAGCTGGTTCTGAATTATGGTTGGTATCTATTGTTTTCTTCATTACCCAGATGTGTGATAACTTAAAGATGCCAATTAACTTCAGAGTCGCCCCATTCAAAAGTATTTTTTATAACCTTGTGGAAATGTACAGAATTTTGGGCTTACTGTGGTGGCCCGGAATCAGCTCAAGCCGTAATACTCTAATTTAAGCCAGATTCCACCCAAGAATAAATGGCTACAGTACACTTAATAGATTCATATTGGTGCATATGAAACCCTCTGTAGCAGACAGTGACCGACCCTGTAAATTCCTAATATTAGCGGTAACAAATATAACGAGTCGCTAAAGTTATAGGGTGGTACCACTGCCCTAAGTTTAAACAGACATAGTTGTTGGAATTATACAAGAATAGTTTAAGCAAATGCCGTGGATATGTTATGCTCGGTGGTGTTCTGTTTGGGAGACTGAAGGACCCATGAGCTTACTGCAGAAAAAGAGTTACGGTCACTAACAGAGAATGTGAGTTGAGTGAAACTCTCCTGGTGAAGCGGATACAATTCTCGACTAGTCTTTAAAGGGTTAACGTGGAAGTTGCCCTGTGGTTTAAGAATACTGGCTTGCACGCAGACTCTAATCATGGGATGGTTTACATTCTTATATTTATCTGTAAATAAGACAGTTCACTTCTTGCTCATATTAGTAGGCATATTCTGTGCCAAATGTTGCTGGGAAAATAATTGTTCTTGTTATTGCAAAGGAAGAATGTATGTAAATTCCAGTCATTTACAAGAAAACTAGTTTTACAGAGGGTAATGAAGCCCTTTGCTTACCTAGTGTAACAAGATGATAAGTCCATGACCAGTTGCAGCCATGGGTTGTTAGGTCATACAATCACTCCTGTAGACACTTGTGTTACACCACACTCACAATATGACTGACTGCCTCACACAAGTATTATTTGGATTTGATAAATTAGATTAGCTGTAGAGAAACACTAACCCAGACTCAACAACAACACGTGAGTTAATCTTGGTGAATTATGTAAGATGAAGATGTCACTGAGAAAGGCTTTATTTTTATATATTTTTTTTATAAACAAAATGGATTATTTTCCCACCAGCACTTGGTTCAACCCACCCTCATTGCAATCTTCATAAGCATTAATTTCATTGTTTGTGATGATATCAGAAATTTTGAGCCTTGAATTATTTTATATAATGAAAATATTACAATTAAGTAGTGAATATGGAAATATACACTTCCTCTAAATAGCTAAAACTGGTAAAAAATGAATCCTAAGTTTAAAATGGTTATATTACTTAATCTCAAAAATAAATTAATGAACATTTTAATAAGTTATCAACCCCAAAACCTTCATTTAAAATGTATTAGTCAATATTAATTATTTTCACCTTGTGTGTGTGTGTGTGTGTGTATATATATATAAACAAATTTTGTTTACCTTCTAATCTTTCTAATATGTATAGGATGATGTTTGTCACATATATTGGTTTAGGCAGCACCAGGAAACTTATAGTTTTCTGCTCTCACAAGTTATCCTTAACTGTACATGTATTTTGGCAACTTTTCATCTGCCAAGGTGTGCCCTAATTTTTTATATTACTTTTTTTTAAATATATTGACTAACATAGGTAGAAAAACTTAGACCACATTGAATAAATATATCTGTCTTTTACAACTATTATGATACTGTAACATTTTATTTTGTCTTCCCTTCCCCATAATAGCATTTGGCATATTTTTATTGATGCATTTTCACTGATACCTCACAGAGTGTAACAGGTTCAGAAATATTGGTTATAACCAATTATATGATAAACCATATCAAGGTGGAGATGGAAAGATTGGGTGAGAGGAGTGTGAGAGGGATGCGAGTGTGTGTGGAGTTACTGAAGAAGAGGCACAAGCTGCTGATGGTATGTGTTATACATTTTATATTATATTACAGTACTTTGGGTCACAGCCACTAAATAGAAAATGGATAACCTCAGAGGTTGATAGATAGCATATATATTATGTGCTTAAATGTGGCCAAATATATTTAATGTTCGCACAGCAGCAACATTTCTTCCTTATTGGTCTGGTAATTTATCATAATTTTGGACACAGAAGTAGATTATGTTTTCATAGCATTAAATAAGCAAGGATTTACCAAAGCCTTAACAAATGTCAAAATTTCTGCCTGTTTTCCTTCTCAGTTGAGGCAAATGTTTGTGAATTGTCTTCATGTAGTATGTATTAATTTCTTGTTGTATGAAGGAACATTTCTTTAATGTCTCATCCTGGGAGTGTTCAACATAGCAGGGTAAAATGTGAGCTTTTGGTTATAGTCGGAGAGAGAGAGTGTGCATGCATGCGTGGAAGAGAGAGCGAGTGCTTGCGTATGTGCGAGAGAGAGAGAGATGAAAGGAGCTTTTAAAATTAACTTCTGCCAATGTAGCTTAGTCGTGTATATGAATTAATTGCGATGATTTCTGTAATTTAAATAATATTTTAAAAAGAAGATATCTCTTTGGTAACAACTAAAGTACTTGTGCACTTTCTTGTTCATAAGGAATTAACTTTATAAGTTAATACTTTATTGGTTCTTGATTCCATCCCATTTATTAAGCAGACTTTTGCTGTTTAAATAATCAAAATGCTTCTCCCAGTTTGGGATCCCCAATGTTGGTTATTTTATAATTTGTTTATTATATACATTACTGTATATACAGTATATATATATATGTACAGGTATATGAGAAGTGACAGTATTTGAATGAGGTAACTAGGACATGATAGGGAGAGAGACTGAAGGTAAAGGAGTAGAGGAAAGTAGTAGAGCATGGTGCAAGCATCAAGGACCTGGAGTGTATGAAATATACCTAACTTAAACTTATCATTTTCCTTTCACATGCTAAACCATAAATAATCCAGCTGAGACAGATTTCAAAGGAACATTAAAAATATTGTTTGTCAAGCAGGGAGAAAGGAGTGAGAGAGCATTATAGTTGTCCCGATGAGGTTGTTGTTATAGTGTTGTTTCAGTACTGCGCTTCAGCAATGAAGGTTTTAAACGCGTAACAAAGTTAATAATGCACTATCCAACACCATTAAAAATTATGAGATAGAACTCTCTGTAATGATGCTGTTTTGTTTTTATAATTCAAACAGACATACATCTACATCTCTCCTACTTAATGTATATTACAGTTGTTTTTTCATAAACTGGTGATGGGAAGCACACAGCAAAATATGAGTGTTGAAAGAAAAGTATGAACTACTTTTGAGATATCTGACAGAAATTATTAGTGTAGTCAGTTCACACTAGTCAATGTTGTGGAGAAGTGTTCTAGTCAGTCAACTATACTTTGGCTTAATAGTTGTTTATGCACGATATATACTGTATTGGAGATGACTGCTGGACCACTATAATGTTTCTAAGAGTTATCTTTGATTTAGATTTATTTTTAGTAAATGCAAATTTGTCTTTATAATTTGTTTATAATAAAGGAAACCCAAATAGCAGTCCATATATGGGGTATTGGATGAGTTAGATGCTGATGGGTAGTACTGTACTGTAGTACTAATATATAATGATCGATTTTGTTGATACAAGTTGTCATGTTTGTTAAAATAATGCAACATAGGGAATATGCTCAATCATTTTGTTATAAGAGTATGTTCCAATTATGACTACAATATTTAATTTTTTATCACAACCTGGTAATAGTAATATTTTTTAGCATTCACTGTAGATACTTCCCTGTCATGTTGACCAAAATTGATCAGTATAGCTTTTAAAAAAGAAAAAAAAAGGAAATGAGTAGAAAGAGAAGGAACACATGAGTCGTTGGTAGTATTGAGCAATAATAAAAGCATGTGACTAGTTACCAGTGTGTTTGTCAACTCACTTGTTGCCTCTCAGGGAATATTTTACTTTCTTGATTTAACTGAAAGACATATCTACTTGAAGTATAAATAGTGCCATGCAATAAAAACATGAAGAGCAATATGTCTGCCTGCTTCTAAGACAACACTATGTAGCATAATACACCAGCATATCATCACCAGCCCGATCTTGTGGTGACAGTCATACTGTGTGCCACATTCCTCCTGCCCACACACACTCTTGTACCTCACTACAGTATATTAAAGACTCCAGCTCACTCCTGCTTGCATCACTCATGTACTCTCACTTTTCTGTTACTTGTGTGATTCATGTCTTAATCATTTTGCAAATAATTTGCTTCATATTTTAACTTAAAGTGGTGCACCAAAAAAATGGTTCTTAGTTATTTTACTGATTTATAATGGAGGTGTGATTAATGTGTAAAAGCTACAACTTACCAGATTACTTGCTGTTTGGGCTCCCAGTCTGTTCTTTATTACAACTCTCATTGTCCAGTGTTTATAGATGCCTTTGTTCAAATAATATTTGTGTCATTCTAGGTTCTTTCTCCTTCATTATATGCACAAGGTGGCCACTCATGGTGTTTTTTTTAGTACACACGTACAGATAAATTATACCAGAATCTGCCTCATAATGAAGGAAGCAGTCATTTAGAAATGTTCCTCAGAGCTTTAACACCCAAGGTGTGTGTATACCATCACCAGTTAATTTAGTTATGGGAGATTGTGTGTGCCTTCTGCTCTAAATATGGATAGTTTCTATTTGATATATATATATATATATATATATATATATATATATATATATATATATATATATATATATACATACATACAGTCAACCCTCACTTTACGGGGTCCCACATTCTGCGTTTCCACGTTTACACGGTGCCCTGCCAGAACCCAGGATGCTCACATTCCGCGGTGCGTGTACCCCTTTACGCGGGTGAAGTATAATTTTTTTATTTAGCTCATAAAATTCATACAAATTATTCGGCCAGAATATAATTTACATTGCTGGAATTCTTACAATTTGATGATCATTTTGAATATAAACAACATAGATTTTGCATTAGACATACAAATTTTAGATATAATGTTTACTCTGAGTAAATATGTTATCTTTTGTGCAAAATATATGACATTTATATTCAAAATATTCTTGGACTTACAAGGAATCCAGCAATGTCAATTATATTATCCCAACTTTAGTCTGAGGTATTATTCATGACTAAAAAGGTAAATAGTCTGGTTTTCCCACACATTTATCTGGTAGGGAGGGTTGGTGGGGGGGGGAGGGTCCGTCCGACCATCTGGCACGTGTGAAGAATATTTTTTTTTTATTAACTGAAGATATTTGTTTTAGCTCATAAAATTCATACAAATTACCTGGCCAGAATATAATTTGCATTGCTGGAATTCTTACAATTTGATGATCATTTTGAATATAAACCAGTGGCGTAGCTAGAGTGTGTGCCGCCCGGGGCGGCCCTTGAGTTTGCCGCCCCCCCTCCCCCTCGTGCCCCCACAAAAAATACATATTGCACAGTGACTCACTCGTCTTGTCACGATGGAGACTTGTGCAGAACTGAAGTGAATTGCTTGTAACTGGTGGATTGGTCGGCTGTACATGAACTAATATGACCCGAGACTGCATGGTTTTGCAGCTACTGGAGACGTTAATCCTTCCCTTTGTATCGGCGGCAAGTTAATCCTCGTCGTGTCTGACCTAACACCTGACCCACACCTTATGAGCTCACTGGCGTACTTGTTTGAAGTTGTTTCCTTAATCCTCAACAGGTTACAGGTTGTGTGTGTGGCGGGGGGGGGCGCGCATAGCAAGGGTGTAGCTCATGACGTGGCCGTGACGATGTGGGTCAGGTGTTAGGTCAGACACGACAAGGATTAACTTGCCGCCGATACAAAGGGATGGATTAACGTCTCCAGTAGCTGCAGATATGGGTGATGAGCAGACCCAAAAGTGCCGCCCCGGGCGGACCGCCCCCCCCTAGCTACGCTAGTGATATAAACATCATAGATTTTGCATTAGACATACAAATTTTAGATATAATGTTTACTCTGAATAAATATGTTATCTTTTGTGCAAAATATATAACATTTATATTCAAAATATTCCTGGTCTTACAAGGAATCCAGCAATGTCAATTATTTTATCCGAACTTTAGTCTGAGGTATTATTTATTACTAAAAGTTAAAATCTAGTATTTTCTCCCAACATTTCTCTGGTAGTGAGGGTTGGTGGGGGTGGGGGGGAGGGTTGGGACCCACCGAACATCTGGCGAGGTTGGAAGAGGTAGGGGAGGCAAGGTGGGGTACTTTGATTGACAGATAGTATCTGAAGAATATTTTTTTTTTATTAACTGAAGATATTTGTTTTAGCTCATAAAATTCATACAAATTACCCGGCCAGAATATAATTTACATTGCTGGAATTGTTACAATTTGATGATCATTTTGAATATAAACATCACAGATTTTGCATTAGACATACAAATTTTAGATATAATGTTTACTCTGAGTAAATATGTTATCTTTTGTGCAAAATATATGACATTTATATTCAAAATATTCCTGGTCTTACAAGGAATCCAGCAATGTCAATTATATTATCCTAACTTTAGTTTGAGGTATTATTTATTACTATACCTTAAAATCTAGTGGTTTTCCTCCCAAAATTTCTCCGAGAGGGAAGAGCCAGCGAGTGTAGTGTGAGAAGAGGGGGGGGGAGTTGAGTCCCTTATTTGAATGGACATTAACTTGGCGACTGTATTTCTCTATTTCTCTTAAGTATTAATTGTGTGCATATACCATCATAAAATTAAGATGTTATTTTTACTAGAACATAGGTATTGTGTTGGAAAAAGTGGAGTTTGGGGGTCAGCTGGTCTCTATTTCATTTAATCCCATATGTTATGTAATTCACTTTACGCGTTTCTCACTTTCCGCGGTACCCTGTGGGTTGAATTAACCGTGTAAAGTGAGGGTTCACTGTGTGTGTATATATATATATATATATATATATATATATATATATATATATATATATATATATATATATATATATATATATATATATATATATATATATATATATATCCCTATGTTAACGAACACAATTCATTCCAGATGGTCGTTCGTTTACCGAATCCATTGTTTTAATGGGATATTTGGTAACTGGTTCCACCTCACCAAAAACTACATACAAAGTACAAAAAAAGTGCAGTAAAGTACACTTACTTTGAAGTGTGTATGTAGAAGGCTCCTGGTTGATGATGAAGATGGGAATTTGGAGTGGGGGGTGGAGGGAACGGGAGAAGAGAAGGAAGTGGGGATAGAGGAGAAATCATCTTTCAGAGGACCCATGCTTGATGCTGTCATTTCACCCATAAAATTTTAAGTTCACTGGGTGTAATTCGAGATTATTTTATTTAAATCAACACTTCACTGTGCTATATATTATAAATATGTTAACTAAATTTCAGAATGCCCAATAATATCAATGAAAAATGCAAAATATTCAAGACACCAACAAAATAGATGTTCACTCTACTTTCAACAGAGCCCAACTGATGCCTGTTGGCTGAGTTAAGCTTCTGATGGGCGCACAAAAAAATAGTTCCCTGTACTGCATATATCATCAAAATGTTAAATAAATGTTAAAATGACTAATAATTTTAATATATAAAATGCAAAAATATTAAAGAGCACAACCTTCTTGATATTTACTCCACTGGAAACGAATGTAAACATAGAACAGATTACTGAATTGGCTGATCAGCTGATGCTCACAACAAAACGTGTTGTTCGTAAGGATTTCGTTTATCAAAGTTTTGTTCGTTAACCAAATTGAAGATCATTATGGGAGGTAATTCGTTAATCGAACCGTTCGTTAACCGAGGGACCACTATATATATATATATATATATATATATATATATATATATATATATATATATATATATATATATATATATATATATATATATATATATATATATATATATATATATATATATATATATATATATATATATATACATATATATATATATATATATATATATATACATATGTGTACAGTGACCCCTCGTTTAATGAACTCGATCCGTTCCAGAAGGTCGTTCGTTAACCGAAACCATTGTTTCAATGGGTTTTTTGGTAATTGGTTCCAGCTCACCGAAAATTTCCTAAATTCAACAAAAATGGTAGAAAAGTTCACTTACTTTGAGGTGTGTAGTAGAAGGCTCCTGGATGATGATGATGGGAATTAGAATGGGGGTGGAGGAGAAGGAAGAAGAGAAGTCACCCCATGGCACCATTTCACCCATAAAATTTTAGTTCTCTTGGTGTATTTCAAGATTATTTTCTTTAAATCAACACTGTACTGCTTTTTATATTGTCAATATGTAAAATATATTTCAAAATGACCAATAATTTGCTTGGAAACACAGAAAAAAAGCGTTTAGTTGAAGAGAGTCTCAAGCAAGATGTTACCTCCAGTGAAAACGTAGAGAGACTAACGCCTGTTTGCTGTGTTAAGAGGCTGGATGCCGCACATTAAACTAGTCACTTTACCTTCAATTATGTTCAATAATTGTTAAAATGACTAAAAAATTGAATATTAAACTTTTAAAATTATTGAATAGTATAAACTTGATATTTACTAAAATAGTAAGGAATTTAAGCCCTAGATCCGATTAATGTATTGGCGGACTGATACTAAAGCTGGTTGCCCGGTCAGTGCAAGCGAAAACATGTTGAGGTCGGTTCGTAAGAAATTCGTTAACCGAATTTTTGTTCGTTAACCGAATTGAAGATCCTTATGGAAGGCAGTTCGTAAAACCGAAATTTCGTTAACTGAGGCGGTTAAACGAGGGGTCACTATATATATATATATATATATATATATATATATATATATATATATATATATATATATATATATATATATATATATATA